TTGGAAACATTTGGGATACTGTAAAAACTCAACTCAACATATAGAACATAGAGCCAGAGTTTATACACTGTTTAATGAGGACATGTCACAGATTATATGTTTAAGTACTGAACTGTTCCCCCAATGCAAGAATTCAACCCAGTGTCTTAAAAATGCCTTTTTTTTGTGTTATTCACTGTCAGAAAACTAAAGTGTATTCTTCACATTGTCACAAGCTGCAACCAGCAATTGTTTGGAGTTATTTACTACAATTAGTCAATTAATAGATTAAAGATTGATTTTTGCTTTGTTTTATTGATAATAATCTCAATATTTCAGATTAAACGAAAGATCCGAGGACATCATGTTGAATTTCAGGACATTTTAACTGTCACTTGTCTCTACTTGTCTGATTTTATAGACTAATAAATGACTGGCAGATTAATTGTTAATGAGTTGCAGCCCACAGGAGAACCTTGATGTGCTGCTGATGTTGAATCGCAGACTTGAGATCGAAGCCAGATGCTTGCACCTACTAGTTTTGAAAATAAAATAAATCTTATTTCCACTTGAAACACACCCACATCGCCAGAAAACAATTCATCTCACAGCCAGTGTCTCATCCTCCATCCTTACTGTTTGCCTCTCGGATAAAAAGATGTGCATCTGGTGTGACCTCGCGGATTAAAATTCCTCCTCTCTTCTGTCCATCGTGAGATTCATCACGGTGGAGACGGTCCAGTTAAAGGGGCGACGGCTCAGTTTAATTCCACTATTTCATTCGTGCAGATACATTGATGGGATGTTGACTCTCTCTTCTCTTATCGCTCTGGCTGCTCTTAAAACATTTTTATTTTTTCCCACATTTCTGCTACTAAATCAGAGCCAGCAACCTCCTCAAATGCAGGTTCTTCAGATAAATCCAGTAAGTTTTTACAGCCCAAGGACATAAAAAAGACAATTCAATCCATGGCCAAATATAGGGAGATTCTTCTTTACTTACCAAACAGCCCACTGCTCTATTTCTGCTGCTTTAATTTCATTTCTCCTGTGTTTTTTGTTGCCCTAATTCACATTTCCTGTTCTATTTTTTGACTCAGATGCACAGAAACTTAAGTTTAATGCATCCTGATACATTCACAATATAAATACTAAATGTCTGAGCTGTGCAGGTTTGGAGCTTTTACCTGCATGCTTTACACAACAGGTAGCCGGTTTTACTGCAGGTAACAGGAACTATTAATAGATTTAAATACCGGTGTATAAAACACAGCTTCTGCTACACCTACACTTATAACACAGGCTGATCAGTGCCTTTCTGCCCACAATCCCACACACAGAGCTTCACCAGTGCACAAAATCCACAAGGTGAAGCATTTTTTAAAAAAATAAAAATCCCCTCAAAAAAACCTCAAAAGGTGCAGTTTAAATTCTTAAACTGATCAGTTACTTTTATAAAGAAACAAAAAAAAAAGGAATAAAAGGAATAAATGAGTGTTTGAGATGAAGAAAACGTTGGTCTGGTTGTTTCCAGAGTGGTTAAAAAGGCGGATAAACGCTCCATACCTGTCTGCGCGCTGATCCAGTGTCTCAGAGCAGGAAGGTCTCCGTCCTCCGCTGCTTCATCACACTGATGCTGCTGATGCTGATGATGAGGAGGATGATGATGATGATGGTGGTGATGATGATGATGGTGATGATGATGCGGGCTGTTGTGGGCGACAGGCGGTGGGGCGCGCGAGGCTCCCGGTGAAGTTGCCGCTCGCATTAAAGTGTTCAGAGGCTGCGCAGTGGAGCGGGACCGGTGCTGCGTTCAGGGAGTGTCGGGATTACGACATAACAAACTAAAGAGCTTTAAAAAAAAGTATGTGGACACCCTGACATTTATACTTTTGTCCACTTTTGGTGGTTAGAGAGTATTGTATTGCTACAGCATACTGTGATATTTATATTAGTCCGTGTGTGTCTCTCATGTGCTGTAGATTGCAGTTTAATTGTTAGAACAAGATTACATATGGGTGTCATTTTCCAGGTGTTCATATTTTTTATCCAAGTGTCCACATGCTTTCTGCGTTTAGTGTATTAAGGAGACTTCAGATTAGAGCCTATAACCCTTTTAAATAAATGTGATCTATTCTTAATTGAGGCTACTTTTAAGTGGAAATGACTTATAGGATAATTATTGCATGTATTACTGTGTTACCTGTAAGGTTTTGTTATGGTTTAATCAAACGTTAGATTTATTTTACAGAAAAGCTATTTCGCAAACAACCTATTTAATTGTATTAATTTATTTATTTTGGGAGTGTGAGTAGGTTTTATTATTTTGTTTTGTTCACAAGTTCTGCCTTTAACTGGAAGGAAAGCTCATCTACAATAGGTCTATATCAGATGCACTGTGGTATTACAAGGCCAAATTATGCTAACTGTGTGATTAAGCTCTGAATTTATTCACCTTTAATCACCTATGCAACCCATCAGAGGAATCGGTTATCCTCGAAATTGGAATTTACCAGGAGCACCTGAAGGCAGCTCCTTATTAGTAGTGAATGACCAGCCGTTGATGATTTTATATTTGCTAATATTGTTAGCTGGATTTCTCAGGTAACTTGTCACACTTTAAACCGCTAAAACTCTTTGTGTAGGGTTTATTTATTCCATGTTATAACATTTAAGTAAAGTTAGTGAAAGGTTCTGTAAATATTAAACAGCAATAAAGCTCCATATCAAGGAGAAATGCTGCTTTTTGTCATTATAGCTAGATTTAGATATTATATATAGCTTAAAGAGATTTCACTGTGTGTTATACGGGTAGTTCGCTTTATCTAACCGTTTATTTTATCATAAGAACACAATAATAGTAACTATATATTTGTGAGCTGTGTCTCCCTCTAGTGTGCAAATACATATATATATTAATGCTTCCCAGGACATTGTGTAAGTTAGTTATTTCTAAGAAATGTCTTCTGATTTTAGCTACTACAGAATAATATTCATTTTATATGTGAAAAAGAATTTTCCAATACTCACTCAGCCCACTTTGACCAAATCTGAGAGCATTAAAAAGGTGTGTTCATTTAAATTGGTGACCTATTTCAGTAAATCAAATGAAACAGAATAAACAGGAAAAACATCAGGGTTGAACCTGGATTACAGAACATAAGTCATCAGCTTTAGCCACAGGTTTTGCATATAATAATATTTATTTATTGTATATAACTTTGCAAACAGGTTGAGTCAGATTTCAAAGAGGAGCAGTGATCAAATAAAACTCCATAGATCATTAAAAGCTATTTACACAGCCACTTTAATATTCCCACTTTGTACAATAATATTGAAACATACTATTGATATATTTTTACTGCAGCAAATTAGGTTTTAAGCAAAATATTACTAAAAAATATAGTTGCAGCAGTACACTCGCTGTGTTTGATCGGAAGCGTTTTTGTTTCAGCTTTGCATTGCTATCATTTCTTTACATTTTAGCTACAGCAATAAGAATATCTTAGTGATACATGTACATATATCCCATCATATACTGCAATAGTGTAATTGTAGGTGTTCTCTATTGTCAACTTTACAGTTAAATTATTGTAAACATATTTTGGAATGTCAGTAACATTGATTGATTTTTGCAACAGTATTTTTTTAAATCAAATGCACTGGTGATTATCATCCGGCAAATAGGAGCACAAGTGAGTTGGATCAGTCTTGTGCATTAAAAACTATCAAACAACAAAGTTGTTTTTGATAAGCAAAACACATGGCTTAATGTAGTTCTGCACCATAATAAGCAAAAGATATTTGGTGAAGCCCCTGTCATTAAGGGCACTGAGTTATATAGCTTATTAATAACTTAATCACAGTGTGAAATACATAAATCCATCTTTTACAGGTGAACATGCAACCAGAGATTGAAGTTAGCACCAGTTAACACCAGATCTCTCAAACCCTCTCCTGTGATTGGTAAGCTTAACTTGCTAATGATCTTTTCCAGTTGCTAACCTGTTGTCTATCTCACCCTTCTATCACACGACTTATGCACAGTAAAATTGGGAACCCACTGGCCACTGAGGCTGGAAATTAAGGGATTGTATCTTTAGACATAATTTACATCAAGTTATTTCACTTTTTAGCTCCATCAAAGAACTTCATTTTCTCAGAGTGCACAGAGTCTCTCAGTCGTTGAATGGATGACGCTGTGTCGCCTGAGATGGGCTCAGAAGAGTCAAACATATGTGTAATTTGTTTAGTTATGACAATTGTTTCTTTGCCTTCACTTCTTTCACTTGATGTTTCCCTAACTACATGCCTCTCAATGACTGTTCTCTTGCTGCCTTGTGAGTCTTCGACAGTCCATGATGCCGATTCGTTAGCCTCTGATTGTAGGTGAAGGCCTCCAGCTGGTTGGACTTGGACAGCAGTTAGTAGCTTTGCATGCAGCGATTCTGGGGTTGCTTGTATATTTGATGTAATGACGTGTATCTTTCCAGATTCCAGTCTGAGCGTGTCTTCCGATGAAGATGAAACTCCAGATGACAGAATGGTGATTTTCTCAGGCAAGTTGGGTTCAACCGAGATCAGCTCACTCCTTGTGGTGGAAGTAATGATGTTCCCGTGCATCTCTCCAAGCCCTGTAGCAGTGTTAGGGTCAGAGTATTTGACAGTTACCTTGGTTGGAGAAGATAAGGACAGGCCAAGATGCTCACTTGTCATTGCAGAGCTAATATCAGCAAAGGCATCTGACGACTGGACAGAACAGGTGGGGCTTATTTCCTCATCCACCGATTCAGCTACAGGGCTCTTCTCATCCTTCTGCCGGTCTTTTTCAGATATCTTGGCAGGTTCTGATGGGGAAGACAGTCCAAACTTGGGGAATTTAAACCAACCTGTCTTCTCAGGACTTTTGGTAGTATCTTGCTTGGTATTTGTTTCCTTTTCCTTTGCCTCTAATTGCTTTTCACTGGGTTCATCTCGTTCATGAACTTCCTTTGAGGTTTCAAGATTTTTTGAAACATCAAATTCAACGTCAATATTCTTGAGGATCTCACCAAATGACGTCAGAGTCATTTTGGGTGATTTAATCTCTCCTTTCGGCTCAACTTCCATTTCCAGCTTATCTTCTTTGTATTCAGTTTCAACAGGGGAATATCCATCTTCAGGTTTGGGTCTTGAGAAACTCAGCTTTGGCATTTTAAATGATGGTAGTTTGAATTTACTTGGAGAGCCAAGACTTGCAGTGTCAGTCTCAGTCTTTGGTGTTTCAGTATCTGTTGTTGCTGCTTTGGACACATCCGTTTTAATATCAACACTTAGACCTTTGATGTTGACAGAAACATCCTCCTTAAGTTCAGGTGCTTCTACTGTGACATCATGGGTAGCACCTCCAATTTTCGGCATTTTAATTGTTGGTTTTTTAAATTTTGATGGTGATCCTCCAACATCTTTTGACTTAGTTTCAGTCTCTCCAGCTTTAATTTCAACACTAGCTGAAGATTTGACTCCAGTTTCAGGGACTTTTACCTCTGCTTTGACTTCTGGCAGTGTGATGGCTACATCTTTCTGTGATAAATCTCCTTCAGGACCTATTGCTTTTGGTAGTGTGATGCCAAACTTTGGCAATTTAAACTTGCTTCCTTGCCCATCATGTTCAGCTTCAAGCTCAGGAGCTTTAATTTCCATTTCAGGTTGTTTGACTTTCACTTCTCCCTCTGGAAGAGAAACGTCAACATGTGGGAGCTCGGCACTGACTTCAGGCTCTTTAACACTTGACTTTGAAAAAGAAAATTTGGGAAGTGAAAATTTTGTCTTTTTCAAGTTTGCATCAAGTTCTGTAGCAGGTGGCTCTTCCATTGACCCAGAGGGTCCTTGGACTTCAACATCTGGTAGACAGATGTCTGCTTTGGCCTCGGGTGATGTAACATCAACTTTGGGTGTTTCAAGGTTGACATCAACATCAGGGCTTTTACCACCTGTCCTTGAAAATGAAAATTTGGGAAATGTCCAGTTTGGTCGTTTCATCTTGGCTTCAGCCTCAACTG